ATGTGTTAATTGGTTGTTGATTGCTGGTATTGACTTTTTGATGTGTAGTGCCTCGCTAATGTCGAGTCTCCTGCTATCGCTGAATCTATCGATGATTTCTGTGTTGCTTGTTAAGTGATGGTGATGATCTGATTGTGAAAAGAGATTATATGTTCCTTGAAGGAGCCCTGTTGTTTGTGCATTGTTAATCGCCTAGAAAGAGACGTTGTTGTCTTACCTATATACTGAGTTCTTTGTGGCTTACAGTCCCCAAGTGGGCATGTGAAGGCATAGACGACGTTGGTTTCCTTCAAGGCGTTCTGTTTGGTTTCTGGGAAGTTTTTCATGAGTAGGTTGGCCGTTTTTTTGTTTTTGTAGTAAATTGTCAATTGTATTTTCTGATTTTTGTCTGTAGGGATAACATTCCTATTAATATCTTTCAGGACACTTTCCTCCGTTTTATGAGCAGTCGAAAAGAAGTTTGTGTAAAACAGTTTAATAGGAGGTACAAGTGTTGTGCTAGTTGACTTCAGAGGTTGCATGGTGTTTCACCTCTCTTTTTATGACGTCTTCAACAAAACCGTTAGAGAAACCATTGTTGACTAGGACCTGCCTTACCCTACAGAGTTCATCGACTTGCTTCCATCCTGAGCTGTGACTGAGAGCCCGGTCGATGTAAACGTTGACAACACTCCTCTTGTACCTGTCTGGGCGGTTACTGTTGGCATTGAGGCACATTCCTTGTTAGTTTCCTTAGTGTAGACTGCAGTGTGGAAGCCTCCGTTCCTTTCTGCGACTGTTACATTTAGAAAGCGTAGCTTCCCATCATCGGGGTGCCATCGGGGTGATGGTTCAAATAGCCGTATGCTTGGGGACCATTCAAACTTATCGCATTTGTGTTGCTCATGTGGCTCCATAAAAATGAGGTGATTTGACGAAAAGCTATGCCCAAGATTACCATCAAAGTGCCGTCGGGGTGATGGTTCAAATAGCCTCGGCTATCACCACTTTTTGTACGGTCACTGATGGTCGAGTGGTTTAAGGCACCGTGTACACCAGTCGCAATGTGCTCCTGGCAGTCTGGGTTCGAGTCACTTCTGGGTGTGGAGTTTTCATTCGCATATATGCTTAGGGACCATTCAACCTTGTTTTCATATATATATATATATATATATATATATATATATATATATATATATATATATATATATATATATATATATATATATATATATAAAATGTGTGTGTGTACTAACCTAGTTGTGCTTGCGGGGGTTGAGCTTAGGCTCTTTTGTCCCACCTCTCAACTGGTGTACAGATTCCTGAGCCTACTGGGCTCTATCATATCTACATGTGAAACTGTGTATGGAGTCAGCCTTCACAACATCACTGCCTAATGCATTCCATCTGTTAACTACTCTTGACACTGAAAAGACTACTCTGACACTGAAAAAGTTCTTTCTAACGTCCCTGTGACTCATTTGGGTACTCAGTTCCACCTGTGTCCCCTTGTTCGCGTACCGTGTGTGTGTATGTGTGTGTGTGTGTGTGTGTGTGTGTGTGTGTGTGTGTGTGTGTGTGTGTGTGTGTGTGTGTGTGTGTGTGAGTGAGTGAGTGAATCACGAAAAAATTAAAACATGATGAACAATGTAAGTGTCAGACCCCCAAGGGAGGATTAAAACAGGAAATTCCTTAATTACTTTCGTATTTAATAATACATCTTCATGAGGATGGATTTACAATTCAGCGGTGTGGAATATATAGGGAGGAATGAGGTGAGGTGAGATACAATGTCTTCACAAACATAAGAGAATAATGAGATAAGAGGATATTAATAAGGAATTATTGACATAAATGGATATCAGTGATGTTACTCAAATATCTTTTTTACTGATCAATCAAAAAAGGCTCCAAATTATACAAACCACAACTAATGTTCACGTTTCTTGTTAAGTGTCTTATTATCGTTCATTGTGATAGTAACACAATGAATGAACAGAATGAATGAACAGCTCATTCATTCTGCTCGTAAGTCTCTCGTCTTGAATGAATAGGTACTGTTCTGATTGAAGGAACTTAGGTTTATAGAAACAAAAAGAAAGAGTTGAAAAGTGGACGTCAATAGTAAAGTAATATCATCAAAAGCTCCGCTCTTGGACCCATCTACATCAGTGCCATACACGTAAACTTAAGTGTATTTAAATTAATTCTTGTTCTCACCGAGAAACTTGTAGGCCAGCACATGCACACTCTACATCATAATCAAGTCGAAACTACAATATCAAGCATCGTCACTGGTTAACAAAGCCTTCCGTACCACTTAAAGTTCATTTCCTCTACCCCATCCATCATGTACTTGTCAGAAGAGATTACTCGTAGCAGCGCGGAAGGGTTCTCCATGGCAGCCGTCCCCAGGTAATGACGGAGGGGCGGCTGCTGCTTGCTGGGAGGTGGCCCTTTGTCCTCCTGCCTTGTTAGACCAAATTACTCCGCCAGGCTCCTCGCTCCATCGGGATCCACCAACACGATCGCCAGACGGAGTTTCTACCTCGCTTGTCAATTAAACGTAGCCGGCCATTACTGCATCTCTACGAGGGAGTAAAAGCTCCCATAAAGCCATCAGAACGGCTAATTCCTCAACCAAATTAGTCCATTACCTGATTGACTCGACGCTTGGGTCTCTCTCCCCCTTCTTCCGGCTCCCAGCTCGACCTGGAGATCAGCACCAACTCTTCCCACACTTGTTTTATCCCTGGATTTTTACACGAAATATTTTAATTTAGTTTTTGTAGGGGGTGGACGTGGTATGTAGGTAAAGTTCCCAGATAAAATTGGGTAGTTAATTGCCAGCCGTGTTTGTGTTGACGAGGGTGGGCGTCCCCCACTTGGCCCAGGAGCACGGTATGCCTGCACCTCTCTTGCAAGGTAATTTTATTGAACCGTACATGTTCGCCCTCTTGAAATGATTGCTTATTTCCGGGACTGCAGAGGAATGCGTGGTGTGTTGGGAGATGGATTAGATACAGGAGCACCACCTGGGGAATTCTTGTTTGCTCGTGATTAATGGTAATCTTTACTGCCGCCCTTGTCGAGGGTCTTCCCTCGCTTTTTATTTCTCTCGCTCTCGTTCTCTTTCCGACGAGGAACGTCCTAGTGTATCGTTGTGCGTGTAATGGAATAATGGCAAACTTGGGGTCACGTGAGCATGGTTTAACGCCTCATCAAACTACTCATGCTGTAAGGTCCTTGCAGCATGAGTAAAGTTCGCTCTAGGACGCATGGTCAAGGGGACCGTGGCGAGTACATCACCTGTGTCTGTCTGAAATGCTGAGAGAGAGCGAGCGAGGTAGAGTAGATCAATAACTCGTTACGATACAACCATCGTTAAGGACTCTCGTAATGCCTCAAGGGCCCATCGTGGGTACAAAAGAGCGCTCTTTCTCTTGCCGGGAAGAACTACAGCAGCCGCCATATTGTTTTGCCTCCTCCACCCCCCCCCCACCCCACTCAGCCCTATATACAAAACAATTGAAGTTCGGATGAACCCTTTTGACATTTACTATATATCACACTACAGTTTTTTGTATATTTCCTATGAAATTCTTCAGCCTTCCTTCTTGTGTTTCCCCATCTGTGATTATTGTGATCACATTCTGAATGAGTGCTGCGGATTCTCTCATAGGGTGTATTAATTCTGTTTTTAAAAGAGATACTTTCAGAGTGCTGGAAAGGTGAATATCAGAAGGCTGAGACCAGGCTTAGTGATAAAGGGGGACGGGGGAGGGGGGGGGGTCACATGGGAGGCCTGACACGGGACTGACGAGACGACTTGACACGGGACTGACGAGACGACTTGACACGGGACTGACGAGACGACTTGACACGGGACTGACGAGACGACTTGACACGGGACTGACGAGACGACTTGACACGGGACTGACGAGACGACTTGACACGGGACTGACGAGACGACTTGACACGGGACTGACGAGACGACTTGACACGGGACTGACGAGACGACTTGACACGGGACTGACGAGACGACTTGACACGGGACTGACGAGACGACTTGACACGGGACTGACGAGACGACTTGACACGGAATTGACGAGACGACTTGACACGGAATTGACGAGACGACTTGACACGGGACTGACGAGACGACTTGACACGGGACTGACGAGACGACTTGACACGGGACTGACGAGACGACATGACACGGGACTGACGAGACGACATGACACGAGGATGTGTATAGAGTTCCAGTGAGCTGTAGGTTTAATATTAAGGTGTCGGGATATGTGCTAGAGTGGGTGTAGGGCGCGCAAAACTGCGTGCGGGAACACAATCAGACACAGTTAATGGGTGTTGAGGGAGTATTGGGAGGTGTAGTGGGTTGTGTATAGAGAAGATTATTGTGTGCTTACTCTACTACATATGGAGGAATATCTCTTGGGTCCGCTCTTTTACTCTCGGGAAGCTAGGCTAATGCGAGTTTACTCTCAATTTCTCATGATTTGACCATATCCGTTTTTAAAGTTTTGGATTATGTGCATTAACTTCAAGTCCAGTCCATTCATTCGTTACTAACACACTAGAAGATTTTCTTCCTTCTTGACTATTTCACGTTTCTAGTTTCCACACTTTTGATCCTTGTTTACTTCGTATATAATTATATGTACTTATACGTCTGTATTATATCAGCTCCTTTTTTCACAGGTGTGTACTAAGAGGACTTCTGACTTCCCTTGGCGTGCTTAGGGCGTCCTCTTCCCACAGCTCATGGTAAGCTTTACCCGATAATGTTTTACCTGCGATTCGACCTACAAATCGGTTTACAACCAAGTCCATAATTACTGCTGAGTGAACAGGGGCGAAAAGCTAAGGATTGGTGCCCAATGCTCCCCGGGATGACACGGAGGTGCGCGCACGTGTCATGCGCATGTGTGTGTACTCAACTATTTGTGCCTGTAGGATCGAGCTTTAGCTCTTGGACCCTGCTTTTCTAGCCACAGGTTGTCTAATGCAGTCACTCCTGAACTATTTCCTATCATATCTACTTTTAAAATTATGGAACATGTTTAACTAAACCTGATCCTTTAGTTTTGGCTCCATTTTCCCCACATTCCTTACGGTAATATAAATCTTTATATTTAACATCTCCAAGACTCATTGAAGTCTCAAGCTTACAACCTCACCCTCCTGTTCTAGTGGTATTTATTGTGTACATTGTTATTTTTCCAGTGTCAATTCCCTAAGTATTTTATACGTCTATCATGTCCTCCCTCTCTCTACTTTTTTTCTAGGGTCTTCAGGTTTAGTCTCTCTTTATATCCCATCCCTCGCAATACTGGGTCGATCCTTGTTGCAAACTTATGAAACATTTTCGAGATTTCTTGTGCGTTTTTTTTAATGGGGGCTCCACGATGGGGCGGCACCTTCTAAAATTGGTGTAGAGCAATCTAAATGCTTCCTTAGTTTGGTTCCTGAATGATGTTCTGACTTTTGCTAGTGTAGATTATGCTGCTGTTGGTATCCTATTTACATGAGCCTCTGGAGTTAGGTTTGGTGCTATGTACACTCCTAGTTCTGATTCTCTAGTAGTTATCAGGAGGTAGTATCCCTTCATCGTGGACTGTCCTTCTGGTCTCGTGGTAATTGTTCTCATTGCTATCACCTTACACTCGCTGGTGTTAAACTCCAGGAGCCATTTCTCAGACCAACTCTACAGCTTAAAACATGTTTGAGAATCGTACAAGCCTCAACTGTCACAACTCTTCATTAGTTTTACATCGTCTGCAAAGATTGACACACGACTCAACTCCTGTAGATAGATCATTTACATAAACGAGAATAAGTATGGGTCGCAGTACCGATTCATGAGGTACTCCACTTGTTACCCAACCCAAGTTGGACATCTCGCCCCCCCCCCTCACTCTTACTCTCCGACTCCTGTCTCTTAGGTATTTCTTTACCCATTATTAGTGTTTTTCTGTATACTCTCGCCTGCCTCTGGAGTTTGTGTACCAATCTCTTGTGAGGTACCTTATCAAAGGCTTTTGGGCAGTCCAGAAATGCACAACCTGCTAAACCTTCTTAGTGCTGCATTATTTTCGTTACTTTATAATAATAAACTCCAGTAGGTTCATCAGGCCTGAGCCCCCCTACCCTAAAGCCATGTTGATGTTTGTTTACAAACCTAATTTGCTCCAGATGTGTAACTAGTCTGATTCTTATTATTCTTTAGAGTACCTTGCAGGTACTCTAAAGAATAATTACAAAGTCAATTACAAAGTACCGCTTTGTAATTGACTCATTAAAGATCAATGGATAGGTGCGCTGAGGAATGCGTACAGGTAACGTCCAAATGTTTGCAACCCTGGAGCCAGATTCTCGAAGCAGTTACGCAAGCACTTACGAACGTGTACATCTTTCCTCAATCTTTGACGGCTTTGGTTACATTTATTAAACAGTTTACAAGCATGAAAACTTGCCAATCAACTGTTGTTATTGTTATAAACAGCCTCCTGGTGCTTCGGAGCTCATTAACTGTTTAATAATTGTAAACAAAGCCGCCAAAAATTGAGAAAAGATGTACAGGTTCGTAAGTGTTTGCGTAACTTCTTCGTGAATCTAGCCCCTGCAATCCGCGATTGAGAGTCAATGACTTAGCCCACTGCGTCACAGGCTTCATAACTACAACTGCCCTCTAGAGTCATCGAAACATGGAATCCTAACCTTCCCCCTCCCCCCGTCCCATCCCAAATCCTTATCCCGATCCCTTCCAAGTGCGATATTGGTGTAATGGCTTCGCGCTTTCTCCTGATGGTTCCTCTTCCCCCCCCCCCACCCGGAAAAGGTGTGGGGTTCAAAAGGAGGAGAGAAATTGAAGCTCTCGCGTCATCTCTACTGATTGCAGACTCGATTTTCTTAGCCTGTCTTAATATGTTTGTCCCCACATATCTGGAATCGGTCTGGACCGGGATTCATCAAGCACCAGAGTGTTCACTGACGAAACCTCAACATCTTTCTTTAATCATGGTGGCATAGTTTGTGTTTATTAAACATCTTAAGAGAGTTGAAGCACTATGAGGTTGTTCATGGCAATAGCATCTTATGGTTGTGAGAGCTTGTGAAGGTCCTAAACTGTATAATAAACACAGACCTATATACCGAGATTGAGGAAAGATGTACAGGTTTCGCTAGTGAACATGTAAATTGCTTGATCAATCTTGGCAAGCAGTCGTAAAGGCTCGACAATCTATGGATAATCCGCTTAGATTAATTTGTTAGTATAATACAAACTGTATAATCTTATATTCATATTAATCCATATCTATAAAGTAGAATGTCTGTTAGTTTATTTGTCCGAGGTTGGTACCTTGATGCTTGCGATGAGCCTCAAGCAACTTTGCATGTTTATTTGTGATTGTATGGGGGGGTATCATAGGAGTGGGTATGATTGTATGGGGGGAGTATCATAGGAGTGGGTAGGGGGGGGGGATGTCGGCATTGATCCCCGTGCCCCTGTTTAGTAGGAATGACTCCTATTGCAACTACCAACGAATCCTATGTACTCTGAAATGTGGGTTAGGTTTTCCAAAGACTTTTTTGAAGAGTTTTCCAGCAGTTCATCAGACAATGGTGTTACCTCTTCTATCAAATTAACATAAGAATAAGTAATAATATATATTGGGTGTATGTGTGTGTGTGTATATATATACTCCCTCTCCCAATACTCAATGTCTACCCCCCCTCCCCAGTACCCCATATCCACCCCCACCCCAGTACTACACACCCACCCCCACCCCAGTACCACATCCACCCCCACCCCAGTACCACACATCTACCCCCACCCCAGCACCACACATCCACCCCCACCCCAGCACCACACATCCACCCCCACCCCAGTACCACACATCTACCCCCACCCCAGTACCACACATCCACCCCCACCCCAGTACCACACATCCACCCCCACCCCAGTACTACACACCCACCCCCTCCCCAGTACCACACATCCACCCCCACCCCAGTACCACACATCCACCCCCACCCCAGTACCACACATCCACCCCCACCCCAGTACCACACATCCACCCCCACCCCAGTACCACACATCCACCCCCACCCCAGCACCACACATCCACCCCCACCCCAGCACCACACATCCACCCCCACCCCAGCACCACACATCCACCCCCACCCCAGCACCACACATCCACCCCCACCCCAGTACCACACATCCACCCCCACCCCAGCACCACACATCCACCCCCACCCCAGCACCACACATCCACCCCCACCCCAGTACTACACACCCACCCCCTCCCCAGTACCACACATCTACCCCCACCCCAGTACCACACATCCACCCCCACCCCAGTACCACACATCCACCCCCACCCCAGTACCACACATCCACCCCCACCCCAGTACCACACATCCACCCCCACCCCAGCACCACACATC